GCAGGAGCGGGCGCGCGAGCGAGCCCAGGCGCCGGGCGAGCGGCGCTCCGAGTAGAGCCAAGCCAGGCCAGATGGCTCTGCAGCCATCAGGGACCGCTCCAGTCCAGCCCGGCCCCACTTTAGCTGTGCAAACATTTCTTTATCCCAACAAGACAATTAAACCCAGCAGCATGAAAAGAAGTCTCCATGACTGTGCCGGGAGCGAACAACCAGAAACAACCACACACATCAGAGGAGTTCTTGCCCCTGGGGAGAGGGGGAGGAGAAAAGAGGCTCTTGGAGAACCGGGAGCAGCTGAGCAAGAATCGGGCAAGGTCTGCCAGCAAGGGCTGATGGAACCATCTGACCCTTCTCGTCTGGCAATTAGCAGACCCTTTACACTGGTCATCTGCTCCAGCTGCAATCCAGTGGAGCTTGGTGATCTTGGAACTGTCCCATTCTTCCTAACCCAGATTAATGCCTCTGCCTGCTCTAGTCCCACAGCCCTTGGAATGTACTTCCCTGATGTGACCCCCTAGCGTGGGCTGGCCCCCGTCATCTCAGGCTGCCCTTGGCCTAGGTGAGCTCAGCTGAGTCTTATAATGACACATGCCTTCAGAAAGACTCATCTCAGAGTATAAAATACCATCTCAGGGTTTTTGGGACCCAAGGATGGCTTTTCAAATATGTCAAAGATGAGAGCACAGCCAAATATCCAGGATCTGCTGAGAGCCATCAGGTTTCCTGCCTACTTTGATTCTGCCTGACCACCCAGAAGGGCCAGGGGAAGAGAGCCAAGCAAAGCCACTTATAGTTAGTGTCTAAGGGCCCATCCCTGGGGTGAGCCAGAAGGCTCCCCAGGGCAGTTCTGAGCCCTTTCTGCCTTGGGGTGTGCATGCAAGCTAACCAACTCCAATTTGGGCTGAGTGGATAAACAGGCAGACTGGCCAAAGGCTGCTGTTACCCAGGCAAGAGTCTGGGTACAGGGGCAGCTGACAGAGAATCATCAGGAGATGCATGTTACAGAAGCCAGAGGTCTGAGGGTGTAATAAATGTATGGATTGTAGCACAAGGCAGCAGACAGTACTTACCTTCCCTTTTGTTATAAAGTTTCCTTAATGAGCAATGTTTATTTTAAAGGCCCTGGGAAACATATCGGTAGACACTTCATATGTAAGACACAAGGTGGACTATTAGTAATTGGTTCATAAATTTTAGCATCATTTCCCTGGACAAGGAAGGAGCCCTGGGGACTGGTTCAGAGAATGACAATAAACTGAAGTTACCTCAGTTCCCTTCCTGGGGAATTGTGCATCCTCCGTGAGCAGCTCCTCACAAAACACTTCTCCCATTTTCCAGGGCAAATAAGTCAGTCCTGTAGAGCAAAGGCTTCCTTGTTCCATAGAGCCCAACACCTACCTCAGAATCACCTGTGAGGCCAGGTGGATGGATAAACAAGCAAACTGGAATCATCTACTGGAGAGAGGATACTTTACCCAAATAGCTATATTTCTGTCTTCACAAAAATGCATATTTAACCACAAAAGAAATTCTGCCTATCAGTAACCAGATTTAAGGAACCAACACACGTGCATTACACCACGTCCACAGGCCCCACGCTCAGAGGTGCTCACATGTAGATGTATTTACATGTAGATGTATTTGCACGTGGATGTAGTGTGAGCAGGGGTGGCTGCTACAGTGTTGCTACTCTAAAATTGATTTTTCAGTGACCTAAAACTCAGTCATAAAACTTCTACTCTGAGTAAGGGACACCCCCCCATACTTACCACCTCACCCCACCCACCAACAAAGCTCTAAAGCTAGTGCTCATATAAGCGTTTTACTGTCACGTTTTATTAAAACATTTTTTACATTTTATGAAAAAATATTTCATTTATATGAAGAGAACTGAAAAACAAGTCAACCATATCAGAAAAATTCTAAATTTTAATAATAAAAAAACCCTAAAATAATACAGGATTCATTTTGGCAACCCAGGCAAAAGCAGTGTCCTATTCCTTGGCATTTTTGAACACTTTCTCTCTTCTGGCCTCCCCAACCCCCCTCACTGGCCCATCTGCCCCCTGAAGCCCCTTCTCCCTCTGGAAGCAGTCTTGTATACGGTTACTCGATTATCTGAGAAATATTGCTTATTTCAAAAACGGTTCTGTAGGGAGGGCCTGAAAAGCATCTAGTGGGAATAATCAGGCCTTCTAACGGCCTTTAAATATGTATTTACATAAAACAGACTATAAATATTCTGACACATGGCAGTGCATGACAGGAGCCAAGAAAGCTGCCACTGACTTTGTCATAGTGCCTCTTCAACCCTTCCTTGCAAAAAATGTTTCTCCTGCCTTCCAAAAACTCGAAATCAAAAGCACAGATGTCGCCCAAATGCAGCCCTCAGAAGGCTGCTCTACCACCTAAAGCAAGGAAAGGAAAACGGAGCATAAATCCAGGGATACCACAGATGACAGTCTCCTCTTCACTTGGCACCTTTATTTCTGGTTAAAGGTTAGTCACAAATATGACTCTGGCTAATAATGTGGGTGCTTCATGTTTTTGTACAAAAAATACTTTTGAAGGGAAATATAAAATTTATGTAATACGACGATTTGAAATAAAGAAGTTTCCCAACCCTTTTGATCAGAATCTCATTAATTTCAAGGTCAGAATTCCATTTCACTTTGGGAGACAGACTCATTTAATTTTTCTCCACCCAGGCGTACTCCTATGTGAGGGATCCATCTCCATGGGGGATGGCACCACCATACAATGCAAACCAGGCAAACAGAAGAGTTATAGCTTTGACACTCAGAGGGGGAATGGATATCCACGTCTATGAGTTCTGACTTGACTAACAAGCTCCTGCCTGCTCTGGGAGTCTGATGCAGGTTTGGGCTGAAAAGATAGCAAAATGAAAACAAGCTGGCTCTGCTGGGTGAGAAAAAAGAACTCATGATCTCCAGATGCTACTTTGTGCCATAGTAGTTTTGAGAGGATTTTATTTTCAACTTGTACTTGGAAGAAAAGCGGGCTGAATAGGTCACATCCTCACCAAGGGCAGTTTCGGCCATAGGTCAGATTACAGCTAGCTTTATCCAACACTTAACAAATAAAAAAAAATAAAATAAAGACCAATCAATATAATGCCAATACCTGTTCAGCAGGTATATCCAAGAAGCAGGAGCAGAATACACGAGTCAACAGAAAGTGACAAGGTGACAGAGGAGTGAAAGCTGAAGTGTGAGAGCCTCGCTAGCAGCTGTGCTGTCCTATACCAGGCTTCTCCCTTAAGTGGGGAGGTCTCCAGCTTACAGACTCTGACATAAAAGACACACTTGCAACATATTTCAAAACCAAAGAGCGATGGATTTACAAGGCAGGTTGATTTTATGATGACTTTTATTGAAAAGGTACGCTAGGTTTAGGCAGATGCCTTTTAGCGCAGGAAAGTTAACACAGTGCCTAATTCAAGGAGACAGCCTGAGGAAGCAGGGCCGACAGGGGAGAGTGCTACAATGTCTCTATTACTCTCCTCGGTATCATAAAGAGAAGAGAAAAAAAATGGTATTCCTGTTGGTGGTTATAGAGAGGACGGGAGCACACACACACACACACACACACACACACACACACACACAAAATAGAGAAGAGGGGAAAGCAAACCTCTGATGTAGTTTTCCTAATAAAATGGAGCAAATCTTAGAACAAAGGGTTTGGTGGAAAAACACCCTCAGTTCATAAATTCTCACCAGGCTTGAAGAAAACTGCTGTCTACCCACAGACCAAAAGCGTCAGAACACAATTATTTTCTGATTATATCAGAGTGGAAGATTGCAGGTTTCAGCACTCCTAGTCTGCAAGTTCTAAATAAAGCTTTATTTCCTACAATGAGTTAGTATAGATGAGGTATAGCCAGAACCCAACAAGTCACTTGGAGAGCATGAAAAAAAAAACAAAGGCATTTCATGAGCAGAAATTAATAATAGTCGTGAGCACAAACTATGGAGCAGTCACACAGGTCAACCCTGTTTATCCTAAAAGTGAGCCTCAGGATAAGCAGCCAGCAAACCTGTCAAATCCCAAGAGAAGTCTGCTTTCCAGCTTTGCAATTGCAAGGAAAACACAGCTGTTTGAAATGCTTTATGGTGATTGACGACACCTTTGTCCTTCTCTGAAAAATAGCCTGATGTGGACAAGGGCTGAGAGTTGTGAAAATAAAATCACGTGGAGTCTGCTGGCTGATACAATGGAAAAGCTTAAAAAATAATACCGTGATCAGAGAAACATAACGAGAACAGCAAGGAGAGGAGGGATAGACAAGTTTCTTCCAACTTCCCAAATTCCCCAGGAATCTATGCTCTCTAATATAATGACCTTCACTGCAGGGTATATATGGCACCCTCCTCACTCCACAGTCCTCAGAGAAGAAGCCAGCTGTGTTTGGGAGAGACAGGCCATGCGGAGGCCAACTTGCCTCTGGCTACCTCCGGGAAAACACTTTCTACAAGAGCTACCAATGCTCACTGATGGGAGACAAGTAAATGTTAGTGCTCCACTGCTACCAAAAGGTAAGCAGTCGGCTCTTCATCACTAAGCATGTGCACAAAGCTGCCGACCTGTTGAACACTACTGCAAGGCAGGGCTTATTAGGGGTGAGGGAGGGCTCCAACCAAAGTACTTACATCTGTCATTCCGATCCTCTGGGCTAGATGATGCTTCTCGATCAGAAATGAGGCCAGAGACAGCAAAAATCTTCTTCCCAGTGTCATCAACCTTAAGTGAACCGGGGGAGCTAGATGGCAGTTGTGTCCCAAAGTCATATTCCTTGCCATCTGCATCTGAGAAGCGCAGGTGGGGAGACTCTGTGTCATGGCAGTTCTTAAGTCGCTTGGCTGGCGTAAAGGCTGACTGATAGCTTTCCCGGTCCTCAGTGGAAGCAAAGGGACGGAAAGCCCCTACACCACTATGATTCAGCATGCTGATTGGGGTGCAATCTAGATTAGGGGGGGCAAACTGAGGGTGGAGGTGTAATAAGGAAGGGGGGAAATCACGATTGGCAAAAGTGCCTGGCACCCCACCTTGGCGATGGTACATAGAGGCAAAGGTGTAGGAGCCATTGGTGAAGGGAATATGCACATCCTTGTCTACTGAGACAGGTACACCAAAGGGTCGTGGCTGCTGACAAGGGATAGAAGCATCCCGGCTGGCCTCGGCTGTGGATGCCAAGACCATCAGTGCTGGGGATGCCAGAGGGTTGGGAAGGTAGGATGAGTTCTCCATCTTGAAGGCTGCCCGGTGTAAGTCCATCGGAGTCACTTTCAATGGCCGGCGTCACACAAGAAGCAGTCTTCCCTGGGAGGGAGGCCGAGTGGCACCTTGGATCAGGGCTGGGAATATTACTGGGGAATCATGCCCTTCCAAGACCTGTGGAAACAGCAAAGAGAAAAAAAGAGGGGGGAGGAACGTCAGGGGGAGGAAAAAAAGGGAAATCCCAAGTGATTGAAATACCATCCTTCTGGCTTACAGATACTTGGGCAAGAGACACCACAGGCTTTAGGAGCCAGTGGGCAGCAGCAGCAGCAGACCATTTTCATTCGGGAAAATCAATAGACAACTTACTGTGATGTACGCGTAGCTGACTTTGGTCCCTACACGTTCCGGGTGAAATGCGCCTGAGCCCAGCAAAGAAAAAAAAAATCATAAAACCTCCAAATACAATATTCCCTGAGCAAATGGGCTTTGGAAAACCGAGTCACCCAACAGATTGGGGGGTTGGTTATCTATATTTTAAAGGGTTTCCACCTGCACATAGTCCTCAGGGCAGGCCTGATTTTTAGAGACTTTGTTCTACCTACTTATGCTCATGTCTGCATTCGCTCTTCAGTTCCCTAATAGCACTTTGATATGAAAAAAATGTCTATATCAACACACTCGGACCAGGAACATTGTGCATAGTAATTCACACAAACTGTGCACACGGCTAAATTACATGCACTGATACATACACAAACATACATCTTCATGTACCATCTAATAATATTGTTTCCAGAAAGTGCCATGTGAACAAACAGCAGCAACATTTTTTTTTATGCACACTACTCTAATCACACAAGCTTCCTAGTTCTCTTTTCTGAGAAGAAACAAAGCCTTCATCAATAAAATGCCTGGTGTCTATGACAATATTTAAAACTATACTGGGTGTCTTTGGCATGTGCTCTCTAGAAGTGTCTGTCTTCCAGGGGCAGCAAAAAATGAATCAGTAATTTTACTTACTAATGTACCCACTCTTCCGTAGATTTGTAAACTGACCTGGATTTGCCATTAACATCTAGAGTAAAATGCTAAAATTTCTGAGTAATTTTACTCTGCTTATTGGCCCAGCCAGAGCTGATGTCCAATAAAGGCCCCCAGAACAAATTGGAGTTCAGAGAGACGTTTGTTGTTTTCCTTGAAATTTAGGTTGTGTATTTTCATAACCAGTAATTCAGTTTAAAATTTTATATTGAGTGGGAGGTAGTGGAAGGGCTAGGTATCAAAAGTCAGGATAATATACGGTGAATACTAGGACTTATTAGTTTCAACCACAGGCACTAAATAGAAACTGAATGAAATCAAACCAAAAATCACCATCTGCTACAAATTATAACCTTTAGATTAAGAGTCAGAAATAAAAATGATCCCCTCCCTTTAAAAGCTCACTTTCATAATGGAATATCTGTGGTATTCCCTCAAATAAAGAATCCTCAGTTAAACTGCAGATGAATCCTCCTGGCTTAATGCAGTGCAAAGAGAGTATTTCCTTCTCCCATCCTGTAGCAGACGTGTCAATGGCTGTTATTAATTGGGAAGATGAGTGGACACCATCAAACTGCTTCCTCATTTGGCATCTTTCCTTATAGACATCATTGCTAAATTACCAGATTATGTATCTCACATTAACGGATTTTTCTCTCTTCCAAATTTTAAATAACTTTCCTGTCAAGTTATAGCAGTGTAGGGAATGATCTGCCAAGGACAGCCAGTTAGCTTGACAAGTCTGGGAATCCTGTTCTTGGCTGTTTTCAAGTCAGATTAATGGTCACACAACATGGATGCTCTGAAAGTGAGTCTAGGGCTGTTCCAAGGGTTCAAAGCAGCTCTTCACAACAGAAATAACTACATATCTATCGACAAGCCATAGTCTCTGAGGGTAGCTGGAGAAAAGGACAAATGTAATACACTGGGGACCAGGGCAAGAATCTTTCTCCCCCAAAATAACTCCCCCTAGGATTCACTTTCTATTTTTACTTCCTAGATCACCTCATTATGTTAAATGAGTTTCATAAATTAGTAATCTGGCGACAGCACCGGACACTATAACAGAACAGTGAATTACTCAAAGCTGCTTATTCATTTGAAAACTTCATTATACTGAAAATAAATCAACAGTATTTTCCCAGACTACATCTCTTTCACTCCACTTGTGTGGGTGTTGATCTCTGTGGGAGAGGAGGGGTGTTTTTTCCTCCCTCCCCCATTAACAACCTGTATAGATGAGGCTTCAGCAGACCACAGTCATTATGAAAATCTATAGTTAATACACTCCCAATGTCAAAATGTCATGGGTTTAAACACAGAACCCAAAATAAGAAAACTAACTGTCCCTCTTAATTAAAAAAATATGGATTGTAAGATAATCAGCTTGATGGAGCATTTGGGTGACTGTAAAGAACTGGGCAAAGGGAAAGTAAGTAACTGTTACTTTTCTCCCTCTATGCTGATTTTTTTTAATTTAGCACTTCGTGCAAATCCAGATTAAAATAACTCCAGCTATTGATCCGAGCAGTGGAATTGACATTAATTTTAGTTCACTTCTCACTTTGCAAAGGGATCAATAGGAAGTAATAACAGCTGACATCCCCGCTGAAAGGAGGAGAAAGAAGGGCTGAAGACAGAAATCGAAAAGCAACCAAATAAATCATCAGCTACTTTTCCAGGGCATCAGACAAACTCTAAACAGATTGCAAAAAGTCTTTGTTGAATTAACTAAACAAGGAGGAGGGATCAATCTACGAAGCTAAATAAATTGTCTGGCAGACAGTGAGGTTGTTCAGAAGGACTAACAAATATTGTTTTAAAATTTCCAAATCCTTGAGGTGATGGGTTTGGTTCATTTCTATATGTGTGGGAGTTTGTTCCTTAAATCACAAGCCGACCTTGGTTTAAAGTGATTACAAAACGCCAGTTAACTGAATAATTAGTGAGATTACTAATTGCGTGGTTAAACATGCCACAACCAAGACAAATGAAACGAAGACACCGGCGTTTGGAACGTGAAAATGTCTAAGGCTGGTTAGATGCGCAGCGCTCTGCGCTCTCCGGCGCGAACTAGCCACTTTCGCGCTGAAAAGCTTGAGAGCCAGACGGAAAGTCCCAGGGAGTAGGCTGTCTCCCGCCAGGCCTCGAGTCTGGACTTCCAGACCCAAGCCCGGATAGGCCCAGGAGGAAGCGATGTTGCTCGTTGGGAGCCAAACCTACTTGCAAATGACTACCACAAAGCGAACTGCAAAGGGCTCTTTCCCAGAGCCGAGCTCAGGGCGCCCACCAAACTGCGACTCTGCTGGCAATTAAAATGCACACACAACACTCCTCTGCTTATAACAACAGGTGACATTTTTGTGGTCTCTGAACCGTTTCCAAAAGCCAGGACTTAAAAATAATAGAACAAATTAAACGATATTTTTCCTTTGCATAAAAAAAAACTTTAAAAAGATTAACAGGCAACTTAAAAAGCAAAGAACAATGGGAAATGAGGCCACAGTAATGGGGGACTGAAGAACGCGGGAATTTTTTTTTTTAAGTTCACAGACTTCTTCGCTTGAGCAGAATTCCCGCACACTAAATGCCCAGGGGGTATCTGGAAAAACCGTCCTAACAGAAATTTTATCACCATATGGGAGAACTCAGGGACCATAAGGCTAACAGGGTCCCAGGCTATGGCCGACGCCTGCGGTTCAGACACGGCAGGGTATCGGTCCCACATTTGGACCTGGACTGGACCCTGGTTGGCCCACGGGCGCGAAACCGAGACCGACTGGCGGGTCCCAGAGAGCGGGGCCGGGGCAATGACCACAGAGAAGCGGGTGCAGAATTCAGCTAGGAAGAGCCTCCACCCAGGGTGTGGGGGGGACTCATAGAAATAAACGGGAGACGGAGAAGTGAGGGCGAAGCCTACATCAACTTGGGGCCACCGTTGCGCCGAACCCACCAGTCTTGGTCTGACCTCTGCCTTTTGCAGAGAGTACTTTAGGTCCCCACAACCTCCACACCAAAGAATCTGCTTTAACTTTGGAGAACCACGGCACCGGTCCGAGAAGATCCGACAAGCGCGAGGGGCCCGGGTCAAGACCGCGCTGGGCCTCTAGGCAGGGGCTCGGAGCAGCCTGCCTTCGACCAAAATCCAAGGACCTGGA